AGATTTCCTGTAGTATATTTTTCTGCTGTTGGTAACATACCAGTGCTCACCTCATAGAGTGAAGTGCTGCATTCAATTTGGAAGTGTTTGAGAAAGATTAATGTCGGTTCTGTTTCATGTCTGGTAGAATTTACCATTGAAGCCATTTGTCTGGACATTTTAAATATAGTGAACTTTTTGATTATTCAATCTTCTGACAAGGTAGAGATCTATTGAATTTTCCTATTGCTTTGTGATTCAATTTTTTTTGTCTTGTGTTTCTAGGAATTTGTCCGTTTCATCTTAAATTATCCAATTTGTCTTACAGTCTTTATTTCTATAGTAGCAGAATAACTCCTTTTTCATTTCTGATTTTAATCCTTTGAGTCATCTCATTTATTCTTAGTTAATGTAGAAACAGTTTTGCTAGTTTTGCTTATCTTTTGAAGAATCAATTTTGGGGTTAGCTGATTTTCTCTATTGTTTTCCTATCTTCTATTTCATTTATTTCTGCTCTAATCTTTATTATTTCCTCTGTCAACTTCAATAGCATATAAAAATTGCTTCTTATTGCTTTGCCCTCACCCTCTTTCTGTGTTGCAAATTACATTTTTATACGTCTTTGTGTTTTTTATTAGTACATGTCTGTACATTTTTATATATTATATGGCTCAAATGAGACTAAATTTTTTGTTTGCCTTCTTTTATTGTTTTGTTTTTCTTCCGGTACCAGGAATGGAACTCACGACTTTGTGCTTGCCAGGCAGGCACTTTGCCGTTGAGCTAAATCCCCAGCCCCGAGACTAAATTTTTTTTTTTTGGTACCGGGAATCGAACTCAGGACTTTGTGCTTGCCAGGCAGGCACTATGCCACTGAGCTATACCCCCGGCCCGAGACTAAATATTTTTATACATGTCTGAGAAGTTGGATATGCTTCTTGTTTTTGTTCCTTCCTAGGTAAGGTGTCCCCCCGACCAGTTTCTTTCAGGATTCTTTTTTAATCATTGATTTTCTCTAGTTGGAAAACAATATGCCTAGGTATATTTTTGGCATTTATCCTGCTTAATGTCTGCTATAGTCTGAATGCCCCTTCCAAAATTAATGTTGGCATGTAATTGGTATTGTAACAGCATTAAGAGGCAGGACTTTTAAGAGGTGATTAGGGCACTACCCTCATGGATAGATTAAGGTCCTACTGAAGGAATGGGTTAATTATTAAGGGAAGAGGCTCCTGATAAATGGATGTGTTTGGCCTGATTTGACTTCTTCTGCTCCCCCTTGTGAATTCTCTGTTTTCCCTCCCCTTTCCTCCTTTTGTCCCCACCTCCCTGTTCCCCTGTCCTGTGATGCCTTCCATCATCACGCTATGATGTGGCAAGAAAATTCTCAACAGGTGTGAATCTACGATCTTAGCGTTTCCAGCCACTTCCTAAAATACATTTATTTTCTTTATATATTACTCTGTCTTATTCTGTTATAACAGCACAGAAAAGCAATTAAGACAGTGTCTGACATTAATCTGGGGGAAATTCTCAGTCATTATTTTTTTCAAATACTTCTGTTTCTCTCTTCTCACTTCTGTATTACTACTATGAGATGTGCACTATACCTTTTGTAGTTGTCACACAGTCTTTGGATATTCTGGGTTCTCCCCCACCTTTGTTTTCCTTGCTTTCAGTTTTGGAGGTTTATACTGAAAAATACTCAAGTTCAGAGATTCTTTCCTCAGCTGTGTCCAACTACTACTAAGCTCAATCAAAGAAATTCTTTATTTCTGTTGCAGTGCTTTTTATCTCTGGGCTTTCTTTCTGGTACTTTTAAAATAATACAGGCTCTATGTATACATTGCCTCTGTGTTCTTCCATGCTGTCTGCTTATGCACTAGAACCCTTATCTTAGTATATTAATCAGAGGCATTTTAAAGTTCTAATCTAACAGTTCAACATTCTTGATGCATATATATTGTTTCTTGCTTGCTTTGTTTTCAAATTGTGTTTTTTTTTTTTTTCTTACGGTACGCCTTATAACAGTTTCTTGATAGCTAGACATAATGTAGTGGGTAAAGGAACTGTTGTACATAGTCATTTAATAATATCATGATGAGCTGTGAGGGGAACAGAAACATTTTATAGTCTGAGGTTTAGGTCTCAGCCCTTTAAGACTGTTACGAATTTCATGAATGTTTCCTAGTTTTTCTTTCTTCTCCTTCCTCCTTTATGTGGGAAAGGAGTGGATTGTAGTTGAATAAATATTTCCCTTTTTCTATGAGAGTTAGGCTTGGATTTCTCCCCAAAAGGTTAGGCTCTTGCTACCTAGCTTTTGCAGCTGTAGGACTCATGAAGAAGAAAACAGTGCTCTGTTGTATTTCTAAATGTTTCCTGTTCTCCTTCTCTTGTGAATTATGTGGTAATTTTTCTTTGAAATTTACTATGACAGCCTGGTGGTAAAACTCACAAATTTAGCAACTCCTTATGACTGGGTCTCCCTGGAATTTTTAACTCGCAGAGAGTTGTCTACACTGAAGCTCTAATTCATCAATTATAGTTCCAATTTTCCTACTCTGATACTAGTTCTTGTGGTGAGTTCTGTTTATGAGTCTCTGCTCCAATAAACCATGACCGTACATGTGTGTCTGCCTCTCCAATCTTCAGGGAAGTGGGTCTGCCCTATTTTCTTATCTCTGTTATGGGTCCTAGATGAGTCATTGAAATGGAAGTCTGCTTAGTTTTTCACTTATTATTAAGATGGAGTGGTGACTTCTGCATTCCTTACATATGAAACTGGAATCTAGAAGTACTCTTAAGTTACATAGTACTTACATCACAAAGATTCTGCCAGTTTACTTGTTTCCAGGTAGGGAAACAGATTCCTGAAGCTCCCTATTCAGTCATCTTCTGTTCTCTGCCTATACCCTCCTATAAGTTAAGTACACTGGGTGTTTGGATAAAAAAACAACAACAACAAAAAACAACAAAAAAAACCTCTTTAAGATAGTAGTACTGTTGTTAATGTAACTTATTTTAAATGACCCATATTGCTTTAACATTATTTAACTATAACTAAGGTAATCTGACTGATACAAAAAATATGTTTAGTGAGTTTTTTTCTTACTTAGAAAAAAATTTAACCAATATTAGTATGAAACTATTCTTGGCATCAAGAGGGTAAAATTACTTCTTTCCCCCTTTAAATAATGAAAATTTAAATTTATAAAAGCAGAGCTATAAATCACAATCTCAATGATGGTAGCTTTTTAAATTGCCTATGCTTTTACCCTTGAAACTCTCATTTCTTGTTAAAGCTTGAGTTACTATCTAGCATTAAAGGATTTCCTATTAATATTTTTTGTACAGCATGTGTAGTAGCAATAATTTCTCTGAGCTTTTATCTGGGTAAGTTGTTTGAATCTATAAATCCATTGCTTTCTAGCATCGAAAGTTTTTAGTGAGAAAAGAATATCTTCATAAAGTTCTCTTACAATAGCTTGCTGTTTTCATGATGCTTTCAGTATCCTTTCTTTTTTTGGCTTTTCAAAGTTCAATTAGTATAATGTGTTCTGTTGTGGGTTTCTTTCAACTGACTCTACTTGAAATATGTTGAAATTCTTGGATTCATACCTTATATCAAATTTGGGAAATTGAGCTATTATTTCCTCAAAACAAACTCTGTACGCCTTTCTCTCTCCTCTTCCTAGCTATAGCTGGCATAATGTGTACACTGGTGTACACTGGATTTTCTTAATTGTCCTGTAGGTCTCTTAGGCTCAGTTCATTTTCTTTGATTCTGTTCCTCAGACTTATCAGGTGTTCTGTCTTCAAATTCATTGATTCTTTTTTTCTACTTTCATATATCTGCTTTTGAGTACCCCTAGTAAATTCTTCAATTGTATTTTCTAACTGTAGTTTCTTTTCAGTTCTTTAGAAATATATTTAACATAATTAAAGTAGTAACTTTAGTCTTTATTTAGTTCTTTCAAATCTTTGAGGCAGTTGTGTTGTCTAGTAAGTTCACCATCTGATCTTCCTCAAATATTTTGTCAATTTGTCAGTTTCATTTGAATAGACTGTACTTTTCTCTTTCTGTGTCTTGTGATTTTTAAAAACTAGACATTTGAATCTTAGAATGTACTAATTTTAGAAATATGATTCTCCACCTTCCCCAAGGTTATGCTATTTATAAAGAGTTATTGTAGGGTATATCTATGTCAGAAATCAGTTCTAGATGTAAACTTTACATTATTTTATATCTTTTCTGACCTTGCATCTTTACTCTATGAATACAGTGACTTTCTAAATTTTTCTATATACGTGGTTGTATTTGAATATCCTAATTGTTAAATATTCGACTCCCAAAATGGTGAAAAGAAAAAAATGTAGGAAAAAATGAACTATTCTCCTTATGAATCCTCTTAAAGACAGTATAGCCAGTGGAAATTGCAAAACTGACAGCTGTGTTTGTGTCTGTACTTCTACAATTCAAAGCAGAAAGCTATAAGCAGAATCCATATCCCCAATATTTAGAGAATATGGGTCTTACTGCTATCTCTGACCTTTACAAGGTGTTCTAAGGAAATTAGTGTGCCATGGGCTAGGGTGTTGGATGATGTTTATCTACTATTATATCAGGCAGAAACTGACCAAGATAAACCATAATTTATCAGTCAAGACTTTCCCTGGAAACTGCAAGTCTAAATAGATTCTTAAGTTACACAGTACTTACATCACAAAGATTCTGCCAGTTTACCCGATTCCAGGTAGGGAAACAGATTCCTGAAGCTCCCTACTCAGTCATCTTCTGTTCTCTACCTATGCCCTTTTATAAACTAAGTACATTTGGTGTTTGGATTAAAAAAACAAACAAGCAGAAACTCTTTAAGATAGTAGTACTGTTAATGTAACTTATTTTAAATGACCATCTTGCCTTAACATTATTTAACTATAACAAGGTAATCTGACTGATACAAAAACATCTAAGTTTAGTGAGTTTTTCTCTTACTTAGAAAAGAATTTAACCAATATTAGTATGAAATTATTCTTGGCATCAAGGGGGCAAAATTACTTCTTTCCCCTACATAGTGCATGTGTTTATCGGAATTTCTGTATTTAATTCTGACTAGATAAAGCATAAAGATCAGACTGGCTATAATGGTAAGTAATAAGACAAATAATGACAAAAATAGATAAGCCTTAACCCATTCACACATCAAAAACTAACTAAAGACCTCATTTTCTATTTCATAAAATACAAATACTGTATGACAGAAAATTCTATGTAATTACAAATGGACTAATTATTTAAAGCACAATTGAAAGAGGTCATTTAGGATTATGATGGAAAATTTTGGTAAAAAGAAAGACTAGCACCAGCTTTTCTTTTTATGATTTTGATAGTTTCAGTGAATAAATCTATATAGGATCTTACAACATTTCTATAAACTATGTGATGTCTCTAAAAAACTAAGTGGAGATTATAAATCAAGATAGTGAACAGAACTGAAAATAAAACCTAAAATAAATTCCTTAATGTATAATCACAATAGTTACTGGTAATGAAGTTTAGAAAAAGTATTTGATATGTTTTTAAAGTGAGAATAAACTATAAATTCAGGGAGTTTATATACTGCTGTGTTGTGGGCATTCAAATAGCTACTGGAACAGGAAGTGCTAAACCTAGTTAAGTAACTTTCTCCAGATCACACTGCTGTTAAAAGCTAGTAAATGCAGGATATAAATTTATTTATTTTTATTTTTTATTTTTTTGGTCTTTTTGGGACAAGGTCTCGCTATGCAGTTCAGACTGGACTTGAGCTCACTTTGTAGCCTAGGCTGGTCTCAAACTTGCAAGGATCCTCCTGCCTCAGCCTCTTGAGTGCTGGGATTACAGGTGTGAGCCACCACACCCAGCCAGGATATGAATTTAAAGATTTGATGTTAAAGAGATAGAGTACTTGCTCTTGTGCTATTGGACAAAATGGAAGATGGTTAACTATAGTTTCTTCTACCAATTTTGGAGAAATTCAAAGAATGTTCTAGAACTGAAAGTAAAGTTAAAAGTTCAGTAATTATTCTCACTGGTGCTATTCCCAGTTTTGGAGCTGTAATACTGTAATGATGGTGGTTTAAATACCTACAGTCCAGAGAGAGGACCTAACTCTCTAGCTAATGAGTACAGAAAAGGGATCTCTATTATCTAAAGAAGACGGAGAAGAATGTTTCTCTCTTTTAAGAAATCTTTTGACCATTTTTCCCAAAAGTGCTCCAGTTGTATAGAACTATATAATAGCAAGAGATTGATAATTACAGGACCTCTCTTCAGGACAGAGTAACTGGGCATGAGGGTACCCGGAACCTAGAGAGCATGGGAAAACTCTTCGAGACAGTTGGGGAAGATGGAACACTTAATTCTGCCTATGAACTAACACAAATCCTGAGCTCATCTGTGAGTGATGATTACGTAGAAGAGACTCAAAGAAGACAGGAAAGACCTGTAAAACACAGGCATAATATGTATCACTGTGGAAATCTGAAGCTAACTCCTCAAGGATATGTGCTAGGTAAACTCTAATAGTACAGCAAAGGCTAAACAACTGTCCCCAGATTTTAAGACAATATTTGCAATCTGAACCTAATAGGATTGATTGCTAACACTAAAAGACTAACATTAATCTAGAAGATTTTAACCAGTTAAATATTTTACTCACAATATAGTATCTAAAATGTTAAGGATGATATCTTTAATCACTTAATACAGAAAAAAATCAGGAAAATCTGATCCATTCTCATGGGGAAAAAACCTCAATAGCTGTGAACTCCAAGGTGAGCCATACCCTGGAATTGTCAGAAGAACTTTAAGCAGATAATATAAGCATTCTCTATGACATAAGGTCAATATTTTAAAAGAAATGTGAAGATAGAAGTTTTTAGAGATTTGGAATCATAAAAAATAGGCAAGTGGAAATTTCTGAATGGAAAAATAGTTTATTTGAATTAACAACTTCATCGGCTAAACTCAAAGGCAGATAGAGATGAGACAGGTCAAAAGTCAGTGAATTTGAAAACAGATTATAGGAATAATACGAAAAATACAGAGAAAAAAGTTTTAAGAAGTGGAATAAATCTAAATATGTTACAGGAACCCCAGAAGGAAAGGAGAATGAGGGAACCGGGCAGCCTAGGAAGTTGGCAGCGACTTCCAGACTCAGACCTGCTTTGACACCTGCAGCACTGAGCCTCAGAAATCTACAGTGATGCAGCATGCTGCCAAATGCCTGCCGCGGGTCCCCCCGGCAACTCCAAACTGGCTTTAAGTTTTGCTTTCCCTTGGCAAGAGGAAGCAGAGGCATGGACTGACCCAACTGACCGGATCCTGGATGAGGACAACGCCCAGTGGGAGAAGGTAAGCCCAGGGGCCCTCAGGTCTACAGAGAAAGTAGAGACTGGGCCAGTAGGGTCACGGATTCCAGTGTGACCCACACAATGTGACTGGGTGAAAGACACTCATGGGAGCCTGACATAGAGAGGGAGTGGGCTCGACAGAGAGCGCCTAAGTTTAAGTTCACACTGGCCATGGGCTGGGCCACACTCTCCGTAGGGAGAAACCAGGCCTGGTGAGTGCTGACATTAAGTCTGACAGTCTACCCGAACCCGTACCCATCAGAGACCAGAGGGATACCTGCATTCTCCATCTACCAATCTGAGTAAGGACATGCCTTGGACTGGATGGTTACCAAGTCTGGAGTGAATGGTGCAGACAGGACACCTAGAAAACTCACTGACCCTAAAGCTGGTTGAGAAAATTGTGACTGGCTGGATTTCTAGATGGCAGATCCTGGTAACAAAAACATTCATTTGAAAACACAGAGGAATTTTTTCCACTCAATCTTTTAAATTTTTAATTATTTCTTACTTTCATTCTCTTGGGGAGGGGTCTTAGGCTTTTATTTTTCTTTCTTTTCTCTCTTCCTCTTTTACCTTGTTGTCTTCCTTCTTACTTTTATTTCCTGCATTTTATTCTTTTTTCCTTCTTTTCCTTGTTCATCCTTTCCTGTGAGTATTTTCTAACACTATTAATTTCCTCTTACTCCTCAATAGGACTTCCATCTCAGTGTTCTCTTCATCTTAGACTAATTTTCCAAATTTTACTTTTTCCATTCTCAGGCTCCTTACTCTCTCCACCTTTACTAGTGTAACTGTTCGGCTTCATGAATCTTCAGATAGCTGATTAACTATTATTATTATTGAATACTGTTCCATTCTTAGTGTTTCATTTAGATATTTACTATTGGTCAATATTTGGTTAGTCACTGCATTTATTCTGTAATTTTAGGTATCTTTTCTATGGTTAAAGGTGGTACATTATTGGCTTTTAGGATTTGTCAATATCCAGTTTGTCTTTGATGCTATTATTTTTGCTGATTTTATTATAATAGCCAAGGTGACACAAGTGTTTATTGATTTTTGGGGGATGTCAATACCAGAATTACCTCGATGTTATCAATAATATTGCACTCATTCTTGGAGAATTGAGTACTGCACTAAATATGCTACCATCTCCCTTCTCAATGGGACAGAAGGACAAGCCAATAGGAAGACATGCCCAGAGGGCATCACTGAAAAGTAGACAACTAAGAGGTCTACATACAGCACTAGCCATAAGGCTTTCCACTATAATGAACCTGCAAGCTTCAGCACAAACAAACAAACAACAAAAACTTGTGAAGACAAGGCAACAAAATGCCTCCAAAATCTCCCAACTCCCCCGAAGATGATCCCTGAGGCATTGAAGGCAAGGAAATAAAAAAAACACACAGCTAAATTACTTGGAAAGATAACACAGGTGATAAAAAAGTCAGTAAGATAGCTGGCAAGAAGATATAACCTAACAAATAATGGGCCTAATAAGGAAAATAACTAGGGAGTCTACAGAAGACAGTAATAAAAAGTTAGCTGAGCTGCACAAAATCATACAAAACTTGAATGGCCAGCACAGAAAATAATTACGGCCCATAAAAATATCCCAAACACAAATTCAGGAGATGAAAATTTCTATCGAAAGTATAGGTAGTACAAGTGACCAATGTGAAAATAGTGTCACAACTAGAAAATATAGGGATTTTGTCAGTGGCCAAAGTTACCTTAAAAATGAGACAAGATAAAAATGGATTTAACAGCTACAGCTACTAAAAGATGCAAAGACTAATATAAGCTTAATTAGTATTAAGTCAAAAGTGAGAAGATGGTACATATAGCATAAAAAACCTGTTTACTGAAATAACAGCCAAAATTTTTCAGATAAGTGGGACATACAGAACCATGTTCAGAAAACAATCTCCACAACACATCATAGTCAGAATCTCACAAGTCCAACCCAAGAACAGAATCATGAAAGTGGTTACAGAAAAGCAACCAATCACTTATGAAGGTAAACCTATCAGAATTATGGCAGACTCCTCAACACAAAACTTAAAAGACCAGGAGAGCTGGAATGAAGTATTTCAAGCTATAAAAGAAAACAACTGCCAACTCAGACTGATATATTCTACAAAACTGTCTTTCAAAACTGATGGGGAGAACTTCAGGAAAAATGGCAGAGTTGGAAATAATTCAGCCTCTTCAAGATTTGAGAATCTGGACATTGGAAAATAATAACTTGGGGAAGCAAAGAAGAGAGAGCTAGATCCTCACAAATGAGAAAGGATCTGATCGTAAAATTGGAACCTACATAGAAATCGAAGAGACAGAACACACTGTAGAAAAAGGAACAGACAATCTTCACTTTCTCTCCAGCTCTTATGTCAGGGCTTGTGAGAAAGGCTGAATCCACACAGACAAAGTAAAAGTGGAGACCAAAGGAAAGAAGAACGCAGCAGTGGAACAGACCAGGGGATGCTGCCCATTGCAGTAGGTGGTGAGCGACTCCAGTCTAAGAACATGCCATATCCCCCGCAGTGAGTAGTCAAGTGATCCCAGGCCTCAGGGTAGTTGGCTCCCAGGGATATGCTTCCACAGTAACTGGGTGAGGGACAGCCACGGGAGACAGCTGTGGTCAGGTCAGCAAGATATGCCTAAGGGGTTTAAGCTAAGCATCTCAGGTCTCACACACATGGCCAAAGGCTAGGCTCCAATTGAAGCACTAGGGATTTGAAAATCTCAGAATTGGCACCCTTGACCTAAATGTACTACTTGCTGGTGAATCTATTCAGCACAGCTCTGGGATCTGACTGCCTTCTCTACCTACCAACATGAGCAGGGACATGTCTTGAATTGGACACTGCCCCAAAACTGGAAGAAAACCACATGTGCGAAATCACAGAAAAGTTTCTATTTTTTTGTATTCTTTTTGGTTTGTTTTTGCCAATGTGTATGTGTGTGTGTGTGTGTATTTTTTTTCCTTTTCTTCTTTCTTGCTCTCCTTTCTTCTTCACCAATGTCCTGGGGTTTAGGAAATCTTCCTATGTCCTTCTGCCTTATTTACCTCTTTTTATTACTTCTTTTAAAAATTTCCCCCCCTTCTCTCTTTTGATTTTTCTTCCTGTAATTATTTCTCTCATTTTTACAGTCTAGACAATTTTTTTGTTTTCTCAGTTTTCTTTTATCTTCTGTTTCTCATGAGTTTGTTTTCTTACACCTTCCTAATTCTGTGAAGACTCTTTTACTCCACCATAAGATCTTTTGTACCACCTTTTTCTCCTCCTATCATACAGTTTAATGTTTCAAAGTTCTCCTTTTCTATTCTGCCATTTCCAAGCCTTATATATTTAATAGTATAAGCATAAACCTTTGTTAATCTTTTGATAACTAACTCTGTAAAATTACTGCTGAATTCTTTTCTACCACTAGTGAAGATTTAACTATCACATTGAGTACATATTAGCTATAGGTTAATATTTGGGTTGTTTTAGTTTATGTAGTGTAACTGAAGATTTCTTCTCAAAGATTAAGGGTAGTATAAAATTGGTTCTAATGACATGTTAATGTCTAAGTTGTTTTAGATAGTACTGCGGTAGCTGATTTGCTTGATAGTAATAGGTTCACACAACTGTCACTATTTCTCTGTAAACTAACACTCAGATTATCTTTGTGACATAAAAAATACTACAGTATATTCCTAGAGAACTTGGTTGCTGGGAATATTGCTAACTACACTGCAATCCCTTCTCCCAAATTAATAATGGTGGCCAGATTTAGGGGCTGAAGTCAACACAAAAGGCATTAAACAACTGTTTGACAGAAATAATAGCAGAAAAATTCCCAAGTACAGGAAAAGAAATAAACATACAGTAAATGAGGCATATAGAACCACAAATAGCCTTGACTAAATGAGAACCACTTCACATCATGTTATATTTAGTGTACCAAAAGTCCGTCACAGAGACAACATATTAAATGTTGTTAGAGAAAGGCAATATACAGGTAAATGATTAGAATTACAGCAAACTTCTCTACACAAATCTTAAAGGCCAGGATGGATTTGAGTAAAGTGTTTCAGGCCCTAAAAGACAACTTCTATCTTCAATTTATGTATCCTGAAAAGCTTTCCTTTCAAACTGATGGAGAAATGGGATATTTCCATGGCAAGAAACCCTTCAAGAAATTTGTGCACCAAACTAGCATAACAAAAAATTCCAAGGATATCCTAGAAAGAGACAATGAAGTCAACAATGCCAGTAAGTCAAAAAGAAAGAATATACTTGGTAGGATAAGCACCTAAGCAACAGGGAAAAAAAATCCCCCAAAACATAAGGAAATTAGTAACAGGAAAATAAAGCAATGACAGGAATAAGTTAGTAGCTTTAAGTAGTAAGTCTCAATGTGAATGGTCCAATTCCCCAATGAACAACACACAGATTGGCAGACTGGATCAAGAAACAAAACCCAACCCTATGTAGTATACCAAGAAATTCACAGATTAAAAATCAAAGGATGTAAAACAATATTCTATATAATGAGAAAACAGAAAAAGTAAGAGTTGATATTCTAATTTCAGACAAACTAAATTTCAAGCCAAGATTGAGTTGAAGAAACAAAGGTCAGTACATATCGGCTCAGGGAAGAATTCAACAAGAAGATTTAACAATTATAAACATATATGAACCAACTAGCATATCCAACTTCATGAAATAAACATGAATAGACATGATAAATCAGATGAAACTCAATACAATTGTAAGGAAGCACAATACTCCACTGTAACAAATGGACAGATCAAGTAGAAAAAAAAAATCAACAAAGAAATATCAGAATTGAACTAAATCTTCAAACAAATGGACTTAATAGATAGCTACAGAGTGTTCCACCTAATGAGAACAGAACACATATTCTTTTCAGCAGCACATGGGACTTTCTCCAAAACAAACCACATACTAGCCCATTAAGCATTTTTAAGTAAATGCAAAAGAATCAAATTATTCCATGCACATTACTGAATCATAATGCAATAAAAATAGAAATCAATGACAAAAGAAACCACAGAAATCATGCAAACAGATTAAATAATATCTTCCTGAATAATCAATGGATCACAGATGAATTTAAAGAAGAAATTAGACAGTTTCTATAATCAAATGATAAGGTGAATATGACATACCAAAACCTATGGAACACCATGTAAGGAGCTCTAAGAGGGAATTTATAGCAATGAATTCTCACATCAGAAAACCAGAGTGAGCTCAAATAAATAACCTAATGATGCACTTCTAGAAAAAGAACAATCTAAACTCAAAGCTAGTAGAAGGATATTATAAATATCTGAGCAGAGATTAATAAATTTGAGGATAAAGAAACAATACAAAGAATCAATGAATGAAAGAGTTGGCTCTTTGAAAGATTAAACAAAACAGTCAAACTCTTTGTTTTTTTTTGTTGTTGTTGTTTTTTGTTTTTCTTCTGGTACTGGCAATTGAACTCACAACCTTGCGCTTGCCAGGCAGGCGCTGTGCCGCTGAGCTAAATCCCCAGCCCCAAAACAGTCAAACTCTTAATTGATATTACCAAAATAAGGAGAGCAAAGACACAAAACCATGCAATTAGAAATGAAAAAGGAAAAAAAATCACAATGGATTCTGCTGAAATGCATAAGATTATTGGTGGCTACTTTGAGAACTTGTCCTCTAATACATTAGAAAATCTAGAAGAATCTAGATTCTGAGATACATATGGCCTGAACCAAGAAGATATAAAAATTCTGAATAATCTAATATCAGTTAGTGAAATTGAAAAATAAAAAAAAACCTGCTAAATAAGATTATTCCAGGTCCTGACAGACTCATTGCCAAGTTCTACAAGAAGTTTTGAGAAGATCTAATGTCAATATTTCTTAAACTAGAAATTGAAAGGGAAGGAATACTGTCAGACTCATTCCTGGAAACAAGCATTACCCTGATGCTAAAACTAGAAACGGACCCAACCAAAAAAGAGATCTCCAGGCCAATCTCTTTAACGAACATAGATGCAAAAATCCTCAATAAGATACTGGCAAATAAAATGCATCCATTCCTCAAAAAGATCAGACATCATGACCAAATAGGATTCATTGCAAAAATATACGCATGGTTCATAGGAAAGTCCATAAAGGTGATATACCATACAAACAGACGCAAGGACAAAAATCACAGGATTATCTCAACAGACAGAGAAAAAGCATTTGACAAAATCCAACACCCATTCATGATAAAAACCCTGAAGAAAAAAGAATAGAAGACCTTTATCTCAATCTGAGAAAAACATGTATGACAAAGTAATCACAAGTCTCATACAAAATGGAGTGAAGCTGAAAGCTTTCTCTCTAAAATGAAGGACAAGACAAGGATATCTGCTATCACCATTCCATTCAATATAGCTCTCAAAACATTAGCTATAGCAATAAGATAAGAGAAAGAAATAAAAAGGATACTTGATAAGAAGTTAAATTTTCATTATTTGCAGATGACATGATCTTCTACATAATTCCACCAAAAGACTTGTAGAATTAATAATGAAATTTGGTAGTGAAGCAGGATACAAAGTCAACACTCAAAAATGAATAGCATTCCTGTACTCACAAAGAATGAAAGTAGCAAAAAAATTACCATTCACAATAGCACCAAAAAAATTACATATTTAGGAGTTTAACCTAATTAGGGAAGCAAAAGACCTCTACAAGGAAAACTATAGTATTCTGAAAAAGGATCAAAAAGCCTATTAGAAAATGGTAAGATACTCCCTATTCCTGGATAGGAAGAATCAATATAGTCAAAATGGCCATACAGTACTTCCAAAACTGAGATACAGACTTAATCCAATCCCAATCAAAATACCACAGTATTCACCAGAGAATTGGAGGAAGAAACCCTAAAATTCATATGGAACTAGAAGAGACCTAGAATAGCAAAAGCTATCCTGCATAACAAGAGCAAAGCAGGAGGTGCCATAAGCCAGTTCTAAAGTCGTATTACAAAGCTACAGTGATAAAAAACAGCATGGTACTGGCACAAAACCAGACATGTGGGTAAATGGAACAGAAGATGCACAAACAAATCCAAGTACATAAAACTATTTTACCTTTTACAAAGGGACCAAAAACATACACTGGAAGAAAGGTAGCCTCTTGAATAAACCATGCTGGGAAAACTGGCCATCCACACGCAGTCAAGTGAATTTAGACTTATTATCTTCTATTATATATTAAAGGAAAATCAAGATGGATCAAAGGTCTGAATGTTACAACAGAGTCACTTAATCTGCTGTAAAATAAAGGTAAACTTTTGAAGTCACAGGCATAGGCAAGGACTTTCTGAGCAGAACCCCAGTTGTATAGGAAATAGTACCAAGAATCAACAAATGGAATCACATCAAATTTAAAAGTTTCGGTATAGCAAAAAAAAAAAAAAAAAAAAAGGAACAGGATGAAAAGATAATGTAAAGAATGGGAAAAAAATTTGGGATCTACTCCTTAGACAGAGGAGTAACATCTAAAATATGTAACTAACTCAAAAATGCCTATAATCCCAGCACTCCAGAGCCTGAGGCAGGAGGATCACTGCGAGTTCAAGACCAGCCTAGGCTACATGGTGAGTTCAAGGCCAGCCTGAACAGCATAGTGAGACCCTGTCTCAAAAAAAAAAAAAAAATAAAAAATAAAAAATAAAAAAACAACCAAAAACCCAGATAATTCAATAAAGATTCAAGACTAAAAAAAAATTTAAAAGAAAACAAAAAAACTAGACCTCCAAAGCAAAAGACTCAGTCAAAAATGGGCAAATGAGAGGAACAGACACATCTCAATGTAGCAGAAAATGCCCCCCCAGCATACTTCAGTTGCCCAGGTGACAGTTCCTGTTGCAGTTCCAGTTGCTTCTGTTTCTTAGAAACGGCTGGTCACTGTGATGCCAAGCTGGTCACTATGATGAATACTGTAAGAACCAAAGACAACCAAGTACTCTATGTCTGTACTTCCCCTCTGCAACCCCATAAAAACCTCCCTTCCTGGGTCTTTGAGGCCTAGCATTTTTATAAAGATTGATACCTTGTCAGTGCCTGTCTGACATTAAACAAATCTGCCTCCAATCCTGGGTGTCTTTTCAGTGTTTCTGTTCAGCATAGCATCAGAATAATAAATACAGATGGCCAAAACACACAGGAAAAATGTTCAGTATCTGTGAATATTAGTGAAATACAAATTAAAACAACACTCAGATTCTACCTTAGTCTAGAAAGAATGGCCATCATGAAAATACCAACAAAAGCTGGTATGGCTGCAGGGCAAAAGAAATGCTTCTATATTGTTGGTCAGGGCATAAACTAGTACAGCTACTATGGAAAACAGTATGGAGATTCCTCAAGAAACTAAAAATAGAAATTCCATTTGACCCAACTATTCTCCTTCTAGGTTATGTTGTTATTATTTGGGTCTAGATTTCCCCCTAAAGCCTCATGCAGCTTTGGACAGGCCTTTTTCAGAGGCAGCTGAATCTAGAGTTTGTGACTGATTCCTAGTGCAATGCTGGGATTAAGGGTGTTGGGATTAAGGTTGAGTGATTGCTGGATCAGTCCACTGATTTGAGTGGCACCACCCTAATCCTAGAAGTCTAGATAAAAGAAAGGTGGCAGAAAGAGGTGTGTTTCACCCTTTTACTCTCATTTTGCTTTTACTGTCTTCCACTGCCATCAACGGGTTGACCCCTGCCTTGAGCCAGCTGATTATGGAGTGAAACCTCTACAAACTACGAGCTAATAAACCTTTCTCCCTTTAACTTTGGGTGTCACATATTTTGTCTCAGCAATGAGAAAAGTAAGTAAGACATATGTAAAAGACATCATACCATAGTGACATATGTACACTCATATTTATAGCAGCACAACTCATAATAGCTAAATCTTGCAAGCAGCCTATCTGTCCATCAACAGATGAATAGATAAAGAAAATGTGGTATTTATGCACAACGGAGTAACCGCCATAAAAATGATAAACTTCTGTCATTTGTAGGAAAATGGATGTACCTTGAGACCATAATATTAAGTGAAATAAATCAGATACATGCTTAAATATGAGAACCAAAATACAAATAAAGAGCAAAATAAAAGGGATAGCTGGACGTAAGGAGATTGATCTTTCTCAATGGGAGGGGGATCAAGAGATACAGGGAAGAGGGGAAGGAAGGAGGCAAAAAGTGACAAAAGAATTAGACATGTTACGTAAGTGTACAACCCCTCAAAGGGAATGTAAACATTATATATTGCAAACATGTATTAATAAAAAATATAAAACAAAACAAAAAGAATAAATTTGATGCAGAAAAAAATACTTGAAAAATTAATAGGAAAAATTTCCCAAATTTCATTAGAAACGTAAGTTTACAGATTTATCAAGATTTATGATTAGACTAAAAAGAAGTACACGAAAGGCCTTTAAAACTCAAGTACAATATGTATCACTAATGATGTCTTAAGCTAACTCCTGAGGTTCCCTTTGCTGTGTAAACTCTAGCAGTATAACATCAGTTAATCTACAAAAGGATAATTTTAAAAGAAAACCACCCCCAGACATATCATAATCAAACTGTTAACCTCAAAGATAAAATATCTTTAAAGCAGCCAATGAAAAAGCATGTTATATGTCAGGGAATAGTAGTTTAACTGCTGCAATTTTCTTTAGGAACCATGGAACTAGAAGACAGAGGAAGACTCAAAATGTTGAAAGAAAGGAACAGTCATCCCAGAATTCTGTAGATAGTGAAACTACACATCAGAAATAAAGACATGAAGACATCTACTGATGAAAGAAAGCTAACAGAAGCCTCTGCCAGCCAACCATCTCTCTTCCAAACTTTGTAATTAAACTTTCAATTAAATCAGCAATAAACAACAACTGAACAACCTGAAGAAGGTGTTACCATACTACATATACATTTGAGTTTTTGGAGCCTCCAAGGTAAAGGTAATGGACTTACTCCAAAGTACTTTTGACTACTCTTAAAAATGTATAAAAGAATTAATATGAGTTTTTAAAGACAAGCATGGATTTTAGAAATCTCTATTATACTACATTAATTTTTCCTTTGCTTTTACTAGATTAAATGCCATAATACAGTACCATGTGAAAGTAAAGATTATATAGTAACTAGTGACCCAGTGTCATTCTCCTGTAGCCATGCTTCCAGTGACTACATGGACAGGATATGAAAATAATCTGAATAACAAAAACAGTATTATAAATCACATTCTATATAATTAAATGGATACATTTACGTTTACATACATATTACACACAAGATATAAATGGCTATAAATGATTTATAAAATTCTGAAATTTTAAGGTTGCAGAATATACTATGATTGCTTTGAGGTTAATTGTGTATTTATCAATGGTCATTAGATCAACAGATGATGATTAAGTTGACACTTGTATCTTAATTGATGTACACTGTCCTCATTTAGGGGATTTTAATACAAGAGTTGCTAAAATAGTACCAATTAAGCTATCAGATTGAGGATGGATGACAACACCTCTGTTAACAAAGGAATAGTTTTAAATTACTAATTTAATACAGTAATATATTCTTACTTTATTATAAATACACCATGCTGCCAAGATTACTAATATAAATTAACTTTGTCGTGACCACACATCCATATGCCTATTTACAAAGTAGAATAAATATTCCTAACTTGTGAGCACAAGGTACTGGTGTTGAGTTTTACTAAATTAATATTTAGTTACAATTAATAAGTGTCAACTGATGATCACAATCAAAAAATAATTTTGCACCAATAAACTGGATTTTTCTCTGGATTATGATTGATAACTTTCAGCACCTATTATGTTTAGCACATATGAGCAGTCTCCAGAAGTTTAAAAAAGAAAGTGGGAAAAAAAAAAAAAAAAAGAAAAAAAAGAAACTGGTGAAGATTTAGCTTACACAGGTTACTAAGACCCTAACAGTGGGTTAAAAGTGGGGCAGACGTAAGTGTTCTGACTGAAGTTTCTTAGATTTCTCATTCTTTTGTACTGATGAGTGGTGTGGATAAACTTCTGTAACGTGTTGGGACTTTCTTACCTAGAGAGCATGCCCAGAGGTGTAACATTAAGTGATCCCATCAGCATTGCCAGGGCCATCCCTGGCGCTTCCCGTTCTATTACTTCTTTTGTGGCCTGTAATTAAAGATTAAATAGCACACTGAGTGAAATTTGCCAAAAAAGAAGAAAGGCAGCGTAGTAAATTTTACTATTAAAGAAAATTACAAACCAGGCTTTCTATATACCATACTTTGTAGTTCCTCGAAAGTTGATATATTTTTAGTGCATATAGTATTAGGTTTTCAGGATCACTGAATAAAAACTGAGAACCCAGAAAATCCAGAGAACTGTTTTAGCAATCCTACCTTAGTCCTTACAGTTCACAAATATTTGATAGAAATGTTACTTTGCCTAATAACCTAAATTCCAAAACTGATGCCTCAAACTGCTATGCCCTATAGATTTTATCAGGGTAAAAAAGCTGGGTGTTTTTCTTTGTCTGTTACTCTTTTGAAACAATTAGTTCCTGAAAATCTAAGATCTTATATCTTAGATCTCTCCTAGTTCTATGATTTTGTAACATGATTAAAAGGACTAAGAACTCATCAAGTCAACTTTCCCCATGTATTAGCTAGAAGAACCACTCTATATTTGCTATTTTTCATATCTCCAATATAAATTAAACAAGTGATAAAAATAAATAATAAAGTAATGGGCTTTAGCTACATATTAGGATTCTTAAGATTTGTAAGACAAAGCTGGTTAAACTAATGAAGGCGACAGAACATCTAATTTTCTAAGGATCCGTTAAAATGGGTATACAGGCATACCTCAGAGACATGCCAGGTTTGGTTTCAGACCGCCACAATAAAATAAATATCACAAAAAAGTAAATCACACAATTTTGTTGGTCTCCCAGTGTACATAAAAGTTGTGTTTTTACATCCTGTAGTCTGTTGAGTGTGCAATAGTATTATGTCTAAAAAGTACATAATTAAAAATATTGTATTGCTAAAAATGCAATGATCATCTGAACTCAGCAAGCCATGCCATGTTCTGCCGGTGCAGGGTCTTGCCTCCATGCCTGTTGGTGATGGCTGTTAACAGCTACTGACTGATCCAAAGATACATAATAATAATGGCAAAGTTTGGAATTTGGGGACAATTAATAAAATCTGACACAGAGCTATGAAGTGCACATCTTAGAAAAATGGTACTGGTAAGACTTGCTTGACCCGGGGTTGCCACAAACCTTCAATTTATAAAACATATAATATCTGTGAAGTGTGAAAACTGAACCTCACAAAATGACTTATGCCTATATATTGTACTGGAATGATCAAGATATCCTTTAGGCTAAAAGTAGAGGGCAAAATATAAGACAATCCATTTCCAGTTGTCTGTATTTTTTTTTTTATAAATGAAGCAAGTTATAATAACTGAAAATAACATAAGAACAAAGCATGCAAAATAAACCTTTCCAGTAAAAAAGAAGAAAAGCAAACAAAATATAAACTGTAGAGGGATACAGAAAAAGGTTGATATTTCAATATTTCACTATAAAAAGTGATAGGCCTAACTAAGATTATAGCTCTAGTGAATTTCTTTTCCTTTGGGCAGAAGTTGAAAACTTGTCAAAGGAGTTAAAATGTGTCATCTATACACAAGATGCTAATTGATGTTATAAACAAAATTTTAGGATACATATACATTTTTAACGTCCTAATTATATCAAATATAGGATTGCCAGAATTGATGCAATCTGCTGCTTCATCTAATCCCAGCATTTAACCTGGTAGAAATTTTAAAGGAACACTAACAAAGAATGCTTCCCAATTAAACACACTTTAAATATAAGGGGGCAGCAGTCAACACAAAAATAAACCTTAACTTCTTCAGTTGGAAGAGAGTTACTACCACTTAGGTTCACATCTAAACAATGTTACGCTAGAGTTATCAAAACTTTATTGTTATTTGCCAAAAGTAATCTGTCTGATAAGATTTTGAGGCCTCCTGAAACCTGTATTTTTTATGGTAGAGATTGCTTTATTAAGGTTTTAAACTTCTTCTAAAGGAATTTAAAATCCTAAAAGTCTTACAGATTAAGCAAGGGGATGCTACTAAGAATACTATTGAAAGAGGTCTTTGGAAAAACTCATCCGTATTAACAATAGTTGCCATTTGATGAGTTGAGGGGTTGCTATGGTTTGGATGCAGGCCTTCCTCCAAAGATTCACGTGCTAGAACAGTAAGTCACAATGTGACAATGTTAAGAGGTGGTGAAACCTTTAATATATGGGGCTTAGTGCAAGGAGATTAGCTCAGTGGGGACGCTTGCCCTAGGAAGGATTAATGCCCGCCTCATGGAGTTATTTCATGATAGAACAGGCTATAAGAAAGTGTGAGCCTGACCTCTGAACTACTCTGGCTTTCTGTTGCACCGTGTAATCCCTTCTGCATGGAGCCATTTCCCTTTCTGCTTCTCTGCTGTGTTGTGATGGAGGCCTCACCAGCAGCAGAACAGATCTGGTCACCCCATCTTGGGCTTTCAGCCTCCAAAACTATGAACTAAATAAACTCTTTTCTTTATAATGTACACAACTTCAGGTATTTTGCTATAGTATGAGAAAAAAAATACAGAAGTCTATATAAAGATGACGTATTACCAAAGAGAGTAGCACACTCTGTGTAGGGACAAGGAGACAAGTATCAATAGATTGCTGAGTGAGTATTTCATTTAACATATGTAGGTGGAAGTACAGTATTCATCCAATTAAGTAAAAAATATTCCTTAGGTATCAACACACTTCTGAGAGTATATAAATTACTGTTACCCACAGGTGTAACTCAATAAAATGAAAAGCACCTAAAAGAAGTATAGTTCATTAATTTTTCTAGATCTTCTAAAATATACCACTTTTTTTTTTTTTTTTTTGGTACTGGGAATCGAACTCATGACCTCAAGCTTGCCAGGCAAGCACTTATGCTGCTGAACTATGTCCCCAGCCCCCTGAAATATGCCACTTTTACCAGACACTGGAGAATGGTCAAACACTAGAATGCCCCACTTACTTTGCCTGCCTGCCTTCCTTCCTTTCCTTCCTTCTCCCTCTTCCTCCTTTCTTCTCCTCCTCTTCCCCTTCTCTCTGTCTCTGTTTCTCTCACCTTTCTTTCCTTTTGAGACAGGGCTTCACTATGCTACTCAGGCTGGCCTTGAACTCACCATGTAGCCTAGGCTGGTCTTGAACTCGCAGTGATCCTCCTGCCTCAGGCTCTGGAGTGCTGGGATTACAGGGGTGGATCACTTTTCATTTAATTGTTTTATTGGACTTGCTTTTGTGGTATGAAATTGGTTCTAAAAATAACTACTCAGTAAAAATCTATATTATGAATTATGTGGGGGGTCATTGTTCATGTTATATTGCAATTTATTTCTAGAAGAATCTGCAGGTGAAGTTCCTCTCAAGTGTAATAACTAGAAATAGACTCTCTTCTGTACTACTAGTTTTAAAATTATGATGCTTGTGAATCAAGTTACCCCTGAAAGTAGAGGCAAATTTGTTAATAATTTTCAGTAAGCTTATTGAGCCTAGTTGCTTTATCTCTTTGCCCAATTTTTGTCTTTTTATTTTTTATTTTTTTGTTTTGTTTTTTCCAGTACTGGGAATCGAACTCATGACCTCGCGCTTGCCAGACAGGCACTGTGCCACTGAGCTAAATTCCTAGCCCCTTATTTTTGTCTTTTTGAGACAGGGTATTTCTATGCAGTTCAGGCTGGCTCTGAGCTCACTTCATAGCCCAGGCTGGTCTTGAACTCACAGCAATCCTCCTGCCTCAGCCTCCTGAGTGCTGGGATTACAGGAGT